GCCAGAGGGAGTGGTTTGAAAAGTAACAAAAGCGAGCCATTAAGTGTGGAGATTCCTTATTGGTTGACTGATGTATCTAGTTTATGCTAATTAAGATAAGCTGTGCAAAATGTATAAATAGCTCTGTTGTCATACAATAAACGGCTTCCATTCCTGCTGTATCAACATACACAAGTTGATCGTCACCCCCCCGGCTATTCTGCTGCAGCCGGACTGTGGCACTTCTTCGGTGTCATCCATTTACCTGCAAATGCCATGATTTTATTCTCTGTTATTGCTGAGTAATATTCCATTGTGTATATATGCCACATTTTTAATCCATTCATCTACTGAGGGACATCTAGGTTGGTTCCAAAGTTTTGCTATTTTGAATTGTGCTGCTATAAACCTTGATGTGGCTGTGTCCCTGTAGTATGCTGTTTTCAAGTCCTTTGGATATAGTCTGAGGAGAGGGATAGCTGGGTCAAATGGTGGTTCCATTCCCAGATTTCCAAGGAATCTCCATACTGCTTTCCACATTGGCTGCATCAATTTGCAGTCCCACCAGCAATGTATGAGTGTGCCTTTTTCCCCACATCCTTGACAACACTTATTGTTGTTTGTCTTCATAATAGCTTCCATTCTGGCTGGAGTGAGGTGATATCTTAGAGTAGTTTTGATTTGCACTTCTCTAATTGCTAGAGATGTTGAACATTTTTTCATATATTTGTTCATCATTTATTGTTCATCCTCTTCTGAGAAGTGTCTGTTCAGTCGTTGGCCCATTTATTGATTGGTTTTTTTTTATGTTTAGCTTTTTGAGTTCTTTATATACCCTAGAGATTAGTGCTTTATCTGATGTGTGAGGGGTAAAAATTTGCTCCCAAGATGTAGGCTCTCTGTTCACCTCACAGATTGTTTCTTTTGTTGAGAAGATGAGTCCATCCCATTTATTGATTCTTGGTTTTAATTCTTGCTCTATAGGAGTCTTATTAAGAAAGTTGGGGCCTAATCCCACATGATGAAGATTAGGGCCTACTTTTTCTTCTAATAGATACAGAGTCTATAGTTTAATTCCTAGGTCCTTGATCCACTTTGAGTTGAGTTTTGTGCATGGTGAGAGACAGGGGTTTAATTTCATTTTGTTGCATATGGATTTCCAGTTTCCCCAGCATCATTTGTTGAAGAGGCTATCTTTTCTCCAGTGCATGTTTTTGCCAACTTTGTCTAATATAAGATTATTGTAATTTTGTGGGTTAGTCTCTGTGTCCTCTATTCTGAACCATTGGTATACGTGTGTCTCTAAATTCTTCACTAAATGCAGTACAAGGTGTCACCACACCCACTGTCTGAAATGAAACATCCCTCAAAGGGATGTGAGAAGAGCGGTCTTAGAAACACCTCATGTTTTATTGTGTATAAATTTAAGGTGCACAACAGGACATCTTGGTATGCATGTACATAATGAAATGAGTGCCTTAGTAAAGCCAATCAACACATTCATCATCTCCCATACTTATCTCTTTTGTTTATTTTTAATGAAGATAAAAAAATAGTATATATATATGAATATATATACATATGTGTGTGTGCATATATATATATATATGGTATACACTATGATAAATATATAAATAAAGAATAAAAAGCTATAGAATTAAAAAATATAACTACTAGTTTATCATTAACAGACATGTAGAATATTTCATCCATCAATGACTAGATACACTTTCATCACAGCAGCACATGGATCCTTCTCTAAAATAGACCACATCTTAGGCCACAAAGCAACTCTTAGAAAGTACAAAAAAAATAGAGATAACACCTTGTATTCTATCAGATAATAATGGAATGAAATTAGAAATCAGTGATAAAATAGAAAATAGAAGTTTCTGTAACATTTGGATACTGAAAAATACCTTATTGAATGACAAGTGGATAGTCAAAGGAATCAGGGATGTGCTGAGAGCCATAGCTAAGTAAGAATGACTCATGGCATGACCCAGGTCATTTGTAGTGACATTGCATGAAAGGTGACCTTGCTCAAGGACCAGGGTGGGTCCAGGTTTAGGGTGTATCCTGCTGGGAATAGGGAGTATCCCGCTCCTTGGGTTTAGGGCGGTTCCAGGTTTAAGGTGGACCCTGCAGGGAATAGGGTGTATCCTGCTGCCTCCAGGTGCTCCTTGAGTTCCCATTGAGTTCTTTCGGGATTCAGAGAGTATTTTGGGATGCAGAGCCCAGTAGAGGTGTGGATTTTTCCCCAGAACGTGTTTGTAGAGGGCCGGTGTGAGATCGGGAATAAAGAATTGCTGTTTGAATCTACAAGGCTGTGAGTGGCTCGTGATTTTGTGCCCAGCCAGACTGCGGCAGGGATGAAATTGAAAACTCAGCCCAGGTTCCTATCAACAGATGAAGGGACAAAGGAAATGTGGTAGATACACACAATGGAGTCTCTTCAGCCACAAAGGAGGATGCAATTATGGTATTTGCTGGTAAATGGTAAAACTAGAGGACACCTTGCTGAGTGAAAGAAGCTAGCCTTCTAAGATCGGGGGCCATAGGTTTTCTCTCATATGTAGGAGCTAAAGCAAAATAATGAGAAAGGGGGTTTGCATGAAAATAGAAGGGAGTCAAGTGAAGAAGTTGAGGGGGACAAAGGAGGGATGGGGAAAAGTAGTAATTGGGAAATGAACTTGACCACAGTATGTTATGTTCATGTATGAACACACCACAGTGAATTCAGCTTGATATCTATAAAACGCCAATTACAAAACCAAGAAGGAGAACAGGGGAGAAGGAGAGGAGAGAAAGAGGACATACTGGGTTCTGAAATGGAGCAAATATATTCCATGCATTTGTGATTGTCAAAAATGAACCCCACAATTATGTGTGACTATAATGCACTAATGAAAACATTTTAAAACTATCTTCATCTCAAAAATTTGTCTTATGAATCCAATTAACTTGCATTCAGATAACACTTGTGTGTCCTCACAGAAGGAGAAATTGCTGCTCAAAATTCCATTTAAATTCCTCTAAATTTGCAGTGTGGGTTCTTAACAGAATGGTAGGCTGGAGAGTCGCTTTCCCTCAGGAGGTTAAATTTTAACCATCATAGGTGACACTTTGGTCCCATACAGAAAGCAATCTCATTACCTTTGCCGTTCTCAACCTATGCCTTCTTTCTGGAAAACAGGAAAGGAAACTCTAGAAAGCCTAATCCTGCTTCATGCCTGTCGACGGAGGTGGAGGTGAACCAATGATACCTACGCAGAGAAGCCTAGTCGGATTAAAAGGTAATGAATGGAAAAGAGATGGGCGGGGGGGAAAGTGTGGCAGATGAAAAGAGATATGATAATGAGAAATGATGCCCAGGAAAGGAGGTGTCACTCTTTTCTTAAGAAAATATTATCCTTATTTTCTTTAAGAATACTATTCTTAGCTGTTCTGTCATATGTGGGGTGCAAAGGAATGGAAGAAGGTGCCCAAGATTCATCTTGCCCTGATAAGGAGAACTGGACTGAAGCCACACTGCAGCAGTTACCTGAGACTGGCAGTATGAGGTTTGGAGGGAAGACAGCAGAGCTCCTTGATGGGCTGCCCATGTCACAGGAGGCTAGGGTTACTGCTCTCGTCACATTGCGCTGCACAGTGTCACATTGTGTATCCACACATATATTTCAACTGTATATATTTATGTTATTTTGCTTACATGTTTCAATGCTTTTATGAAGATGAAAATACAGTTTTCTGTAGATTGGGGGAAAACATTACAAATATTTGAAAAATAATCCTAGGACTTAAAGGGCTCCTGCTATTTTTCTGTTGGCCTTTTGAGGCCTGATCCATTCTGTCTGGGTCTTTGTCCTGATCCTGTATGGAAAACCTTCTCATTCAGGAGACAATAGTTGTATCCCTAGCTGCCACCATGACAAACAATGAATTAAAAAAGAGGACAATGAATAAGAAATTATTTAAAAACTGGGGAGACTATGAGGGAAATTGGGGAGACAGACAGAAAAAGGTTGGCCGGTGGGCATTAAAGAAGAAAAAAGTCTGGTGTTATTTGGTTGTAGGTGATTAAAGGTAAAGATAATATACTGTACATTTGAAAACAGTTACCAGAGGAGTTTTAAATGTTTTACCACAAAAAAGAAGACAATCGAGAAAAATAAATATACTTATCTTAATTTGTACATTACACAATGTACACATTTATCAGAACATCACATGGAACTCTGTAAATACATCAATATTCTGGGCCAATAAAAACAAACATATATGACATAATTTTCCCAAGCTCATATATGAAAAAACAGTGAATCCCACCACCATGTCTCTTCATAAGAATGGAACTCTAACTAGAATAAGATATATTCAATAGAATCCATGCTTGTACAATTATTTCAAAATGAATTTTGCCATCACATATAACCAAGAACCAATAAATTTAAAAAGAAAAAGAAAAAAAAAAGAACTGACAAGTGAAGGAAAACAAGTTTTCTGATTAAGCTTACCAACAAGCAAATTCAAATTTAAATACAAAATTTTAACCATCATGAATCTATCAAAAGAAAAAGTCTTGTCATCTTGAGGGAAAAAGCTTTGCTTTGAAAACTTTGCACTATCAAAAAAAAGGGGGGGACTAAAATCTGCAATTACATTAAACTTGAAACTGTTTGATCCAGACACAGTGGTGCACACCTATAGCACCAACTCCTCAGGAGGCTGAGGCAAGAGATTCCAGCCTGGGTAAAATGGGAAGGCATAGTTTCAAAGTAAAAATAATAAAATGATCTACAGGTATAGCTCACTGGTAGAAGACTTGTCTCACACATGCAAACTCCTGGGTTCAATCAAAGTACAGCAAAAGAAAATGTTGACTGGTTGATCAAATCATGTTGATCCCTTATTTTTATAAGGGATACCTTATGAAATAAATAAATAATTTAAATAAGAAAGAATAAGGAGAAGACAGGAGTACAAGCATGTTGCAAAAGCCTTTTCAAAAACTCTCAGGATCAAGATAAACAAAGAAAACCTAGATCCAAGGTGAAACACAATCTGAAAAACAGTGCCATATTGAGATTGACCAAAAACATCAAGTCAGAGAGGAAAAGATGTATGTGCAGGACTGAGGTCTCATTTTCAGTTATAGGAAATGCAAAGCACATCATGCTGAAAATGTTGCTCTCCTGAGGATGAGCTCCTTTCATATCCCTATTCCTCAGACTGTAGATGAAGGGATTCAGCATGGGGGTGACTGATGTGTACAAAACAGACACGATGACATTCTTGTCATTAGTGCTATTTGATGAGGGGACAAAGTGGAGTTCAATAATGGCTCCATAGTACAGAGAAACCACAGAGAGGTGGGAGCCACATGTGGACAAGGCTTTGCAGATGCCCTTGATGGAGGGTCTTCTCAGGACACTGGCCCCAATGTGGCCATAAGAGACCAGGATGCACAGGAGTGGCAGGGTAATGACCACCACTCCTACAGTGAGGATGACCAGCTGATTGATGGTGGTGTCAGAGCTGGACAGCTTGAGTAAGGCAGAGAGGTCACAGAAGAAGTGGTGCAGAGTGTTGCCTCTAAGGAAAGAGAGACGGGCTAGGAGGAGGGTGTGCAAAAGAGCGATGGCAGAGGATAAGACCCAAGACACAATCACTAGCAGGAAACAGAGGTTCTGACTCATGATTCTGGTATAATGCAGGGGATGACAGATGGCCATATACCTGTCATAGGCCATTGAGGTCAGAAGGAAATTGTCAAGATCCCTCCAAATTAAGAAAAAATATTCCTGGGGAATGCACCCAGCATAGGAGATGGACTGAGTGTGCGTCAGCATGTTCATGAGCATCTTTGGAGCCGTGACTGAGGAGAAAGAGATGTCAGTGAGGGCCAAGTGGCTGAGGAAGAAGTACATGGGGGTGTGCAGGCGAGAGTCCAGCCTGATGAGCAGGATGATGAGCAGGTTCCCCAGCACCGTGGTCAGGTACATGCCCAGGAACAGGGCGTAGTACATGCCTTTCTGCTCTGGCTGGATGGGGAGCCCCAGGAGGAGGAACTCGGACACACTGCTCTGATTGTCCCTCCTCATGCTCTTCAAGTTCTCTTTTGCTGGAGACGAAAAAACGACACAGAAATGATAAAGAAGGAGACGTCCTTAAGACTATTACAAAATAAAATCATGGTTTTGTACTAATCAGCATGTGTTTTTTAACTGGAACATCTCAAGCTTTTTGCCACAAGCTTTTTTTTATGCTAGGGATGGTCTGGACAAAGCTAGTTATTTGTCTACCTAGGAACCAACACAGTATATTTTGGAGAAACCATGAAACATATGAATGATCATCAGATGAGACCAGGAGCCAACTTGAGAAACTCGGAAGTTATAATGCAAATCTGAGATTAGGGAATTAAGGATTGTATATTCACAATTTTGGTAGAATGTCATATTATAATTCTACCAATTTTCTTCCAATTTTTCTCTAGCAGGCACAAAATGCAGTGCAACAGGTGGTTAAACCCTACAAATCTCAAAGTTCCACTGTGACAGGAAGGAGACTTACAAGTTTAGAAATACTTAAGATGCATAACTGGAAACATTTTTTCACAGATCCAGAGAAGTCAGAGTGAATTCTAAGTTGTCAAACCAAACCATGGAGATGCCCTGGGGGTCAATCACATTATCCCCAGGTCAACTAAACCCAAAGAGGATATAACTGCTTCTTTGCCTTTGTCCCCCTTGGGAGAAGAACTACTTGTTGAAGCAGCTTGAGAACTCACTCTTGGAGGAATAATGATAATGTGACTCACAAAGATTCTTACCTTCTATTTTCTATTCTAGATACCTAGAGGACCTTCATCTGTATCATCTTTCACACCAACTTTATCCCTTCTTTCTCATTCCCATTTCTATCTTGCCCCCTTGGGATAATGTGGTTCAGAATCCATAACAAACCAAGATTTGGTAACAAAGTTTTTGGCTTCTGACCCCATGCTGAAACAAGAACACTAGAAACACTCTAATCCCATCACTCTATGAACAAGAGTCAGGAGCTTATAACTCATCATCATTCCTGGACCCAGGGAATGCAATACAGTTCCTACAAATCTTGGTCTCTTACCCAAAAGATGAGTCGTCAACATTCTGCTGATGCAAGTTACTTGCAAAACCATAAAATAGCCACTCAATGTATGATTTCACTCAACCCCACACAAAAATGACTCCAAATCCATCGAATGCATCTGCAACTCCATTTCTTAATTGCTTCACAAACAATGAACATCCAGCGCTCATTATTCAAGGTGAAGATGTATATTTCACCTTGAATATTTGTTATTAATTAGTTTAGCTTTAAAAGAACAAATAAGGGCTAGGGTTGTGGCTCAGAGGTAGAGCACTCACCTACCATGCATGAGGCTCTGGTTCAATCCTCAGCACCACATAAAAATAAAATAAAGATACTAAAATAACTAAAAAATAAATATTAAAACAAAGAACAAATAAAAAGGTAAGTTAGTTCAGCTTATGTTAGAAATAAACCCTTATATGGAACTGCTTTTGAATAAAGAAATCCTATAAGAGATTTAGACCTCTGGAACGGTTCTGGGTCTTATGGGTCATAGTTGACCATCTATTGCCTGGATGATAATGATCCTTTGGACCTACCTGTTTCCTAAAAGTCAAGAGTTGACAATACTTCCTTCCTTCTCACTCCAGAACTCCATTGTCCCCTCCCCTTCCCTGCATTCATAAAGATATACAACAGAAAAGCAATGACTCTGCATAATTTTTCATCTGATTAAACAATGTGAGGAAAAAGAGCTCTTTCAACTAACAACTGACATTACTGCTTCCCCTGATTCTGGACACCTAGAGGACCTTCATCTGTATCATCTTTCACACCAACTTTATCCCATCTTTCTCATTCCCATTTCTATCTTGCCCCCTTTAACAGCTTATTATTTAATTGTAAACTACACTACCATATGTGTTCAGGAAAAAACTGAAAAGCAGCCACATAAGATTGAAAAGGATTTCTGGCAAAAGACCAAATGGGATGATAAGCAGTTAAGTAGATGATCAGCCTTGCTGGGTGCAGTGGCTCACAACTGTAATCCCAGAAACTTTGGAGACTATGGAAGGATATTTAAATGTGCAAGGCCAGACTGGGCAACTCAGCCAGATACTGTCTCAAAATAGAAATTTAAAAAGTCCAGGGACTTAGCTCAGTGGTAAAGCACCCCTGTGTTCAATTCCCAGTATGATCAAAAAAAAATTGTCGACCTCAATAATAATCAGAAAGTTAAATTAAATCCTTAATAAATCCAATTTATATCAAGAGTTTGAAAAAGTTAAGTTGGAGGATACTCTGATGACAATGGTGTATAACTGGAAATATTAGTCACATGTAACAGAGAATTTTTGTAATATGATGATTTACAGTTTAAAATGTGCATTGCCATAGACCATCCAATTTTACTGGCAGTTTTATAATCAAAATATGATCTGCATATGTCCTACTGGAGATGTAAATAAGCAGGTTCATAGCAATATTGTTCATGATAGCAGGAAAAAATAATTACAAAAAGAGTTGAGGTATTTTTACATAAGGAATATTGCGGAAATTTTACCCCACATATTATATGAATCAAAGAAAGTAATAGGAGGAAAAATGATACCAACACTATAATAGAACAGAGAAATAAAGAAGTATATGTATGTGCATATTTAATTTGGGTGGGTAAGAAAATGCCAAACCACTGGGGTCCGTTAGTGTGGACGTTGGGAAAGATATTTCCATTTGGTTTATTTTCATTTGGTTTATTTTGGGGCCCTGAAATCTGCATCATTGGTCTATGTGTCCTCAGGTTCAATTTTTGGTAGGTTGTACATAGCCAGAATTTTCTCCATTTCTTCTAAATTTCACAATTGTTCCATAATAGCCCCTAGTGATCCTTTGTGTTTCTGTGGTATCTGTTGTAGTATTTCCTTTATCATCTCTGGTTTTATTTATTTGGGGTCCTCTATTTGTTTCTTGATTAGTCTAGCTGAGGTTTTGTCAATTTTGTCTATCTTTTCAAAATATGAACTCTTCATTTATGGTAATATTTTGTATTTTTTTATTCTCTATTTTCTTTATTTCAGCACTGATCTTTATTGGATATTTCCTTCTTCCAATTTGGAATTTGGTTCGTTCTTGCTTTTCTTGTTCTTTGAGTTCTATTACCAGGTTGTTTCTTTAAGTTTTTCTTTTTTAGTTTTTAGTCAGCTGTTTGACCACTGTGTCCAAAAGCCCTGACAAGAACAATTTGGAGGAGGAAAGGTTAATTTGGCACTCATGATTTCAGGGGCCTCAGTCATAGACAGCCATGCCCATTGCTCTGGGCCCAAGGTAAGGTAGAACATCATGTCAGAAGTATGTGGTGGATGAGAGCAGCTCAGGACAAGGCACCCAGGAAGCAGAGAGAGACTAAGCTCAGCTCACCAGGGACAAAATATACCCCAAAGGCATGCTCCAGCCTGCCTAAGGTTATTATCCAGTTAATTCATTCAAATGGACTAATGCACTGATTATATATAAGACTCTCATAACCCAATACTTTCACCTCTAAACTTTCTTTCATTGTCTCTCACATGAACCTTTGGTGGAAATCTCATATTTAAACCACAACTCTGCCACTGGTTCCCAAAAGTTCATGCACATCTAACAATGCAAAATACATTTAGTCTATTTCCAAGAGTCCCAGTAGTCTTAACAGTTTTATCATTTCCCAAAACTCTAACTCCAAAGTCTCTTCTGAGACTCAAGGCAAACTCTCAATGTGAGCCCCTGTAATAACCAAAAACAATCCAATATATAAAGGAAAGGTGTAAATATTTCCATTCCAAAAGGATTATTTAGGGGCATAGAAAGAAGGAATGGGACCAAAGAAAGATCAAAAAACAACTGAAAAAATAAGTTCTGTAGCTCCATGTTCAACATCTGACATTGTTCTCTCCAAAGAGCCTGGGCAGCTCTGCCCCTATGACTTTACTGATGCAGCTCACACGCCTCTCTCTTGGCTTTCTGTGCTCAGTTTCCTTCAGCTTTTCTCAGCAGATGTCCCACATTACTGGCATTTCTTAATCTCAGAGGTCTCCAGTGCTGCTTTGGCTCCCTTCTCACATTGCCAGGTATCACCCTATCAGGGAAAACCCACAGGAAATCAGCACCATGTGGTTGTCTCCAAGGTCTGCCACAATCTCCATCAGTAGCCAAGCCTCCAGGGACCACAGCTAAAGCAGCCCTCTGAATGCCCAGGTGACTGAGCACGGTGAAACAACATCCTGGGCTCCATCGTACAACACGGTACCCCAAAGGTCTCTCCTCAAAAGAATTTTTACTTTTACACTCTTGAGCCTAAGATGGGGTTGTGAAGAGCAGTGACAAAGAATGGGAGAGCAGTGACTGAGTTTGGGGATCTCTGATGACTTCATGGCTGTGGTGCACCTGCTGCCTGGTAATGTTTCTGTGAAAGGGCACAGGACACCTAGATGCTATGTTAACGCCCCAGCTGAGGAGGCTCAATGCAAGAGTCTTATCAGCTTCGAACTTGACCCCAGGCACATAGCTCTCAAGAACAGAGGAATAACTGTGACTGAGGCAGCATCCAGCCAGTGCCCAAACACTCACCAGCTGTGGCCACAGGTCAGGCTGGATGCTGTTGCTCTCTATGCTGCCTTTGACCCAGGCAACTTTCCATCTTGACCAACCTCTCAATGGTCACAATGGGGGACCTTCCCTTTAAGCTTCCTGGGAATCAGGCAACTTCATATCCTGGCCTTCCGCCAACTACTGCCACAATTGGGGAACCATCCCCATGTGCTGCTGGAGTCCCAGGCAGCTTCCTCCTGGGACATACCCAACAAAAATTGATCCCCATCAAGACCTCACTGGCAGCAGAGGTCTTGATGGGGGTCAAAGCTACCCTCCCACTTGGATCTGAGCTCTCATTTCCTGCCACAGTGAATTGCAGGCATCTGCTCCTTCTCTGCCTGGCTCCCATGGAGGCTGTGTGGAGCTGGGTTAGGCTCACACTTCCTGGGGCAGGTCT